GTACTGGAAAGTTTTAAAGAAGCCTGAGGAAAGCCTCAGGGCCCCATTAAATACTTTCACTAATTCTCTTACCGGTAAAAAAAATTCTTCTTCAATCCTAAATTCCTCCACTGCTCTTGAGGATGAAAGCAATGGAAAGAACCAAGACTGCAGAAACAACTATCTTGTTTATGTTTCCCAGAGGAAGCACTCACATTGGAAATAATTCTGTGATTTAAAGACTAAACAGAAAATGTTGATTCATGCCCTTTTACTGAATTCTATCCTGCACCACAGAATTATAAGACACACATACACCCTAAACAGCAGAGCTAATAATAACCATTGCACCCCATAAACCTGAAGTAGTGATATATTCACCCTTTTCTTACAAAACAGAATGCCTCAGGCATATGTGCTATTGCCTGAAACAATATGAATAAAATGCAATACTTTTATTCAGTTTAAGTAACTCAATAATGAGGTAATGTTTATATATCTGGAAGCAGAGTCAAGATATTTTCATTGTACAGATGAACTGAAATGATGTATTATTTCCTTGAGCCATTTAAAAAATATTTAAGCATCTCCAAGATCTTGGCTTGACTATTCTTCACACCCAAGATAAACCTCCATGATGGTTTGTTTTAAAAACAATGTGTGGAAAACTTTTCCTCTGAAAAGCAAAAAAATAAAGTATGGGTGCTACAGGAAACCTGAATAAACATCAACACATTGGCTCAGCAGAATTAGAACAATTGGAAGGAAGCAACTGCTGGAGGAATAGTGAGCTGAGGAGCACCCAACACTTCAAGTCTGTTACAGATATAATGAATCTGGCCAAGAAGAACTGCACCTAACAGAAAAACTTATGAAAAGTTTTGAGATTCCCTCAAGGAAGTAACTTTGTGCATATATATCTTATTTAGGTTTTCCTCTGTCCTAGTCCCCCTTTTCCCACACAGTCCCTGTGTGCTTACTGTGTTTTTATTTCACCATCTATGTCTTAATAGCCACAGGAATAAAAAATATGAAGTGCACAATTACTGAATATGGGAATAAAACAGAAGACAAGGAAAGTCCAAATGAGATGCTTACAAATCTGACAGCTTGCAACATACTAAAGACTGACTAAGGGAATGACCTCAGCATGTCAGACCAAGGGTCTGTGCAAGCCAACATCCTGTCTCCAACAGCTGCCAAGAGCAAGGATCAGGGAAAAAGCACAACAACATGAAAATTGCATACAATGCCTTCCCCAGCTAAGCTTCCCAGAATCTAGCTGCTTACAGCTCAGTAGTTATGTATCAATGATTCTTACTGTTGGAATTGTTGTGAATACTTAAAAAGAAAGCTATGGTTAGGTCATAAACAGCTATGGGACTGAAAAGCTATACACCATTGGTTTTATTTAAGTGTTAAAAATAATAAGAAGGAAAAAAAAGTTGTAAGTTGGAGCTGGTAACAAGTAAACAAAACCGCAGTAAACACTTACCTTCTTTAAATCTTAGGTTTAATGTATAAACCTTAATCTGTATGGATGTAAATTTAGGTATCTAAGCCAAGAACCTAAATCAACTTAAAACATGCTGTGAATTCCTTTATTTCTCTTAGATATTGGCATTGTAAGGAAACAGGAGGTGAGCATTAAGTTATACAACTAGCTTCAGGTTCTGAAAAACTATTAAAAACCTGGAGCTAAAGAGAGTCTCTGCCTACTGAAATGGCCTTTGGAGTATGTCCTAGACATTTATGTGGTTTTCTCAACAGAATGATGGTAGCAAGACCAATGTGAACTCAATAAACACAAAGGCACCCAAATCCCAGTGAGAATATTTTCCCTAATAAAAGTGCCTCATTTTTGGCTTCAGAAATCTGGTTCTCAGTGGTGACCAAAAAGAAACTGAAAACTAAAATTCATCATTCCCCTGGAAACGATTAAGAAATCATTCAACATAAGTATGTTTTTTACAGTTCATCTCCACACAGATTGTTCAGATTAAGTCACCAAAAGTTGAAGACATAACAATTAATAAAATTAATGTAAGTATTTTGGACAACTTGTTGAAAAGCAGCATTTTTTCATATAAAGCGCACTTATTTCTTTTCCCTAAGACAGCAGCAGAGAGCTACTTAACATAGGATTGTACAAAGCACGGAAAATGCTCAGTAGTAACTTGCTGTGATGAATGCTGAGGCTCAGAAAATTTGAACCTGAAAGAGCCCCTTTTCTCATTCTTTCAAAACACTATTCAAACTCTTCCCTTATGATTTCTCATATTCTTTAACTGCTTGTCCAAAGACATCCAGTATCACAGAACAGCATATGCAAAATATATCCAGCAGCACACAACTGCACATCCAAACCAATTCCACTTTCAAACTGTACATTTAGCCTTCCAGACTACCAATTTATATCTAGGGCAATTCTTTCCATGTGATACACAACACTCATTCTGGTAGTTTCTTTCTAAATTAAGTTAAAAATTTAATGGCCACTCATTATACCCCTGAACTCAAGCCTACACAATGGCCAAGGGAAAACAAGGCTCTACATTCTGTGAGAGGGAAAATGCACAGGCAGAGGGAAATAGGTTTTATCTGGGTTCATGGGCACATAATCCCAATAAAAAGCACCAAATGTCACAGTAGAGTCAATATACACAGATGTGCCTCTGTACAGCCATTACACTGTGCCATCTATTTTTGGACTTGCTGAATACCAGCACAGATATTGGTCCATTTGGGAGACAGTGACACAGAAGGCAAAAGAAAAGCCTAAAAACATGTTTGGGAAAATAAGGCAAGAAAACTTAACTACACAGAACAGTCTTTAAGTAGGAGTAACAGTTAAATAAGGACCTATTGCATAAGATAAATTTATGCTCACGTTACTCTTATACTTTCACTTCTTGCCTGTTAAACTCCTACAAGCCGTAACATTTTATCTACACAAGGAATCTAAATCACTCTTTAAAAAGTTCTGAAGACATTTCTGTTTAGTTTGAAAAAAATTACTTTTTTTTGTTTCCTGACAACCAAGGCAAAAAAGAAGCCCTTTACCAAAAAACAGAGTGGGTAAAACTGCATTTGGTAAGAAGCAAAAATGGATGGGGAAAGTTTTATTTCAGCTTCACTTGCCACAGGGAGGAGGGAGGACCTGGGAAAACTGAGGTACTGTATCTGTAGAGAAAAAATATGATGGCTGAGTGGGTGTCTTCCACAGAGCAATTTCAAATATTTTAAATGTGTAAATAATGCTAAATTTGGGGGACAGAGATGCAGACAATTTCATGTTCATCTTGATCTTGCAATTCAGGAGCTGGTTTGTCAGCATATATTTTGGGATTCTCAAGTTTCCCTTCCAAGAATTGCAAGCACAACCACTCTGACACTGAGCACCACCCCTAGCTAGCTAAGAAAGAGTAAACTGGCTAAACTGTATCATCTTTGTAAATAAAAGCAATGTTTTTTCAAACATTTTTATCACTTGGAATTTATGACTGGTGATTTTTAAGAAATAAGTGATGTTGTTTTCCTAATAACTCATCTTTGTTAATTTAGCAAGTCTCTAATCATCTCTGAGCTCGGATGTACAAGAAGAGCCAAGGCCTGCAACCTATAAAGAAAAAAGATGCAAGCTGGGAGGGCAAGAGACAAGTAACCTCCCCAAAGTTACACAGCAGCTAAGTGCTAATACTATGAATCGATTTCCCATCTTTTTGAACCTTGCTCATGTCCTATGCCCATACAAGACATACTGCCCCTGTGAACTTTTAAAACACTCACAAGATGACAGAGGAAAGCAGATTAAATAAAATTGTCAAGGACTTTCCTGAAAGCCTCTTGAGCAGACAGCACTTAGAACACAAAACATTCTCAATACTAAAGCATCTTACTCAGACATCCATCTCAAAGCCTGAGTCTTCTTTAACGCAAAATTTCTTGTTCCTTAGTACAATCCCTTTAGCTACTTCTGCTTTATCCTTCATAATGCCTTCTCTGTTTTAGGTGCCACTATCCATTTCCCCTTCTCAGAATCTCAAACTGCAACATTCTGCCAACATCAACATAACTGCATTTCTCCAAATAGAAAGCAAGTCACTAGACACACATGACCAAAACTTCCTCCAGTCTTTAGCCACCATTACATAGAACACTAATAGCAATAAAGCAGCAGCAACTTTTCCCCACACTACTTTTAAACGTTGTGACAGGCATGTCCCTCAATCTAGTCTGTAATGCACTAAGGCTACAGTAATTTAGTACTGAGTGGAGATGGGATACAATTCTCCTCTTCAACAGAATAAAAAACATCTTTGAGGCAAAGATGTTTATTAAACTTATTTCCTATACCCTCCCAAGAGTAAATGAGCTTTGGTTCTTCTTGTACATCAGAGCTCAGAAATTATTAGAGACTTGCTAAATTAATAAAGACACTTAAAAATTTCTTAAAAATCACCAATCATGAATTCAAAATGATAAAAATGACTGAAAAAACATTGCTTTTATTTACAAAGTTGATATGGTTTAGCCAGCTTATTCTTTCTTAGCTAGCCATACCCTATTGGAAAATACTACTAAATCTGTGTTTGTTTCATTTGAAAAAAAAAATTAATATTTTATTTTAAAAAAGTATTTTATTTGAAAAAAATCTTGTTTTATTTGAAAACAAATAAACTTCAGGTTTAGATACACATATGTTTCAGATATGCTTGTTTTCATCAATACTATCCAGGAACTTGATGCTGGAAACTCAAATGCAGTGCAATTTGCAACTGAATACCCAAGAATAGCTTAATATTACAAATTAGAATTTTAATTCAAATATCGTCTACTACTCAAAAGAAAAAATCACCACTTAAACATCAAGTATACCACAAGGAAAGCACTTTCTGGATACACACTGCAGCACAGGTTTCATTTTTATACATACTTGAAAAATCACAAAGCCTTGTCAAAAAGGCAGAATAAGGAGTTCTGTATTTTAATCAACATTGAAAAAAGCCCTGTAAGCTTACCGAGCAAAATAGCCTTGTCGCCGTTCCTTCTTCTCCTCCTTGGCCTCCATTATTTACAGTCAAATGGGTAAGGTGAGCAGCCAAGCGCGATGCTCTTTCTCCTGTCAGCACCTCATAACCAGGCAGAGTCTCCTGCATATAACAGTTAAAAACAGGAAGCTCATAAATCAACATGCCACCAACACCTACAAAACCCAACAGGTTGTGGAAATACAACTGACCCAGTTGCAAAGCAAAGTAAAACCACTGTTTGCCATGAAGTGTCCATTTAATATACAATGAGAGGAACCAATTAATGCACTCAGACCAGTTCCTCAGCAGTGGAAGAGACATTTTGCAAAGCAGGTAACCCAAAGGGCAGTATCAAGTTTTAAAACTCTGGAAAGATTCAACTAACAAGTTTATACCAAAACATCTTCCAGGTCTTATGTGTTTCCTATCAACAGATAGGAAACACATAAGAAACACATAGGCAGATCAAGAGAAGCTTTCAAAATACATAGTATGAACAGAATAGCCCATAAGACACACAATGCTTACTCTGAATTTAAATTTTAAATTACTAAAAATACTATAAGATTGTGAGAGATCTGAAAGTTTTAAAAACATTGTGAAAGAAAAAAGAGTGATCTACATTCTGTACAAGGTTTGACTTTGTATTTGTGACCAATATACAAGCTCAAACAACCATACAGAGAGAAACAAGATGGACCTCTGGCTCTCCCAATGAAGTGTAATCACCTTGAAATAGGTAGGACTAGGGAAGATTATCTAGGTTATCTGAAAAGTTAAAAAAAAAAAAGGGAGACCAGTAACACTGGTTTTTGACATGAAAATCACCACCTCTTGGCGGACTGCTGTACCAAGGCACTTGGAAAACAGAAGCTGAGAATTTCCAAACTGCTTTATAATTACTGTAATTAACAACATGCCACATAAACTGCTGTCCAAGATTCCTGCCAAGACGTTTTATCATTTTCCTCTCCTCAACATACGTTTAAGCTACCATGATGGCTTGTGCACATGCAAGAAGTAAGTTAAGTTTAGCGTTTTTTGTCAGTATTTTAGAATAAACTCAAACCAGAAGTTACTACTAAACATTTTAGTCTAATGGGCTGTATAACAAAGAAATGGAAGACACATAAATTATGATTCATAGCAAAACAAGAAACAAATCTTCTGGGACCTAATCAGCTTCCATTATTTACCCCTGCATTAAAAGATCACAAGCTACAAACTGCCACATGTCAACAAAAGAGATGATGCAGCAAAGACAGACTAATCTATTTGAAAAACCCAAGAACAAGTCTTGCTAGAGTCTACTAGAAATACTTGCCGCAATTTTCTCTCCTTAGTCCACAGCATATGAAGCCCATTGCTTCAAAATGCACTTTTCCTAACTCACAAGTTTTGAATTCATCCAGTGCATCACAAAGAATGAAATTGCTTTCATTTTTACACATCAGGTAGTCTTACATGAATGGATACTCTTTAAATGGCAAATATCTGACATCTTTAGCTTTATGAAGAGAATACTATTTTACCTCTGCAAGGTAACACATGATGTAGGACACAGCTGGCTACTGAAACCTACGTGACAGAAGCATAACAGCAGCATTAGAGCAAACTGGCCTGCTCAGATGTTCGGTCTGTATGAAGACGCCACATACTTCCTGAGAATTCTGATGCATCTCTATCTTCCCTGTTGGGTTCTTAGATCTTCAGAGGTTCAGAACTGGTGGCTTCAATAGCACTGCCTTTAGAGTTACAGTAAGTCTTTCTAAGCGTACAATTACAATCTCTACAGCAAATTACAAAAAGAGTTCAAAGAAAGGGGAACCACTTTTCCCCCTTCACCTGCTTTGCCTTCAACTACACCGTGATGTGGCATGAGGGCACAGACAGGCCAGAGCTGAGTCTCACACTGACACCAAGAACTACCAAATAACCCCAAAGCATTAATAGAGTGTTAAACCCATGACCACAAAGACAGCAGGACCCATGAGAATAAGAAGAGGGAAGAGTCCTTCACCTCACTAAAACAAGATCAATTGGGATGAACAAAGGCAAGAGAGACCTGTCCTCACTGCCTAATCCCATGCCAGGGTCAGTGGTATGCTCTTTCCATTCATTCTCTTCTTCTCCCATGGTCTGACATCCCCAGCCAGGGAAGTAACTGCCCTGCTCCAGGCTAGCAGACGAAGAAAGCACTGATACCCAGGGAGCCAGGAGGAGAAACCCCTGCCTGCCCACAACCCTGTCAGGCCCAGTGCCAGAGCAGCCACCCCCTGCTTCAGCAAAAAGTGGCACAAAAAAGGAAACAGGAGGTTAAGCCTGGACCTAACCACAAATGCAGCAGGAGGTGCCAGCACCAAGCCAGCAAGGCACTGCTCAGCTCCCCCAGTGTGAGGTTTGCTGTTTGCTTTCATCAGTGCTAAACAAAGCCAGCAATGCCAACATGGGTATGGAGCCTGTTCTTCTCACATTAAATAAATCCAACTCCAAGTCCTTTCACATGGTGAGGAGGAATAAATCAAGAATTCAAAAAATTAAATAATTGTATTCATAACAGATGGGCACTCAGAAAATTGGAATGTTATCCACAGACCAGACACAGCAAAGGTATTCAGGCAATTTTTTTTCTTCCACTAATAAAAATACACATCAATACAATATCCAGTCACCAATAAAAGTAAATTTTCATAATAGCATAATTTAATGTCAGATCCCACTCTATGGACCTAAAACTTACTTAGTTTACCTTCTTAGAAGAAACAACAGTATTGTTCTAGGAAGCCATATTAAAGTCTGAAGATTATACTTTGAAAACATAATACTAGAAATAGAAAAATGATTATGAATGCTGACTTCCTAATTTCCGAGTTTACTTGTATTGTTGAGAATTTTGCACTAGCTGCCTAAAGGGAAAAAAAAGAGAAAACCCGACAGCTAGGAGGAACACAGCACAGCCTGCAGCAATTGCTACAGATAGTATTTAGTATTTCAGAGAGTTCCTTTTCATTATAAGCAGTAACAACCCAAAAGTCACATTTACTTTACCGGATGTCACTGACAATTTAAAGTTACATCAAAAAAGGCAAACCTACTCCACACTCTCCCCTATTTGTCCTTTGATATTTTACAAGAAAAAAACAAATCAAGGTATTCTTTATTACCTGCTCAAAATGTTATTAATGCTATATAATTAAAATTAACCTTGGTTTCCTGGCAGCCACTTTCTGGTACAGATGAATACTGAATCAGCAGACTATTAAAAATGTATGTATTTGGGGGAATATTTATATGCTGAGAAACAGACAACTTACTCATATATCATGAGTTCAGTCCAAACTCAAAGGATGACAAAGCTGATTTTATATAAATTTCAGGCTCAGTTTAACCTTTTCTACACACTGAAACAGAAGTAGACTGTGAAAAGCTTCTATTACATGTCTACAGCAGTGCTAATTCTTTAATTAGGCATTTTCAAGGCAAACCAAACAATGCATTTCAGTTAGGAGCCTGTTAAAAATTTGCCACTCTCCAAATTTAGCCAGTGCCAGCACCTGATCATTACATAACGAACAAAATACATAAACATACACCGGTCTTCCTTAATTAGCCTACTGCTAATTTTACTCATTTCTGGATACTTGCTTTGTTTATCTAGTGTTGCTGCCAGGGAGTTCTGAGGATGTTACTGAAAATTTGTAATTAGGATGGGAATGCTCTAAAAAGGCCAAAAAAACCCAACTTTTTTTAAAATGTTATAATCACAGGAACAGACTGAACTCCTGACCATAGATATACACACCACTTCTACTGTCACCACACTTTCAAGACCTCCAGAACTTGTTTACAGGTCCTGCTGTCCTCCCTGCAACCTGGCACAGGAGGACAGCAGCCTCCTGCACTGGTATATTCAAGTAGCAGAAGAAGATGCTCTAAGTACAGGGATAAAAAAAGAAACAAGATTAAAAATAACTTAGTTTGTGAATAGAGCACCCTTTAAAGAGTGATAAATTTACCAATTTTTCAAAATTATTTCTTCTCCTTTTTCCTTCCCTTCTCATGCATGAAGAATAATGTACCTTGCTACTTGCAGTTTAAGTAGTTCACATTTTCATTAACTGCTTCAGTAGTTTCACAGTCCTGCTTGCTGTACTCAGGAGTAAGCACCCAGAAATCCTGTCTGCAGCCTCTAAAGCATCAACAAACAATCCTTCAGTTGTGAGCATTACTTTCCAAAACTCTGCACATGAATAACAGTACATCCAACAGCACAGACATGCAGAAGCCAATGAAGCATCTGATTATTTTTAGAACATTCAGTGGACTTGATGATAGCTTTTCTCTGGCCATCTGTGCCCACTGCAAGTCCTGGAAAAACATACAAAGAAAAAGAAACATTCAAGATCATGCAATTCTCTGGACATATTTTTCATGATCCTGTAGAGTCAATATGTCTCAACCTCTCATGAGGTAGGAAAATTATGTAATTCCCTGCTTTGCAAATGGAGAAATGAACTGTAAGAATTACCTCCACAGGCTCAAATGAGAGTGGAAGAGCAACATGTGCAAATATCGTCCCAGCAGCTTTAATCCAGACTTAACAATGAGAACATGGGAGGAGATTACTCTGACAAGGACATAGTTATTATTTTCTGTGAAATTTAAACTGACTAACTCTGGAAACCAATAGCACAGTCTCAATTTTATCTGGCTCTGTGGACATACATGTAAGAATCATAGCTCAGGTCCACAAAAGAAAGTAAAAAGCCTAACTCTAACTCCTCTGAGGATCCAGGCTCACTCAGCTCCTTCAGCAAGGAGCAAGTATGTAAAAAAAGCAACTAACTGACTTCAGGAAAACCAAGTCAAGGGTAGTGTATTCCAGAACTTATCAGGACCCTCATAATGCAAGAGACAGCAGCGACAATCACATTGTGAATAACAAGCAGTGAAGGTCTACACGCAAATGTTCCAGTCTGGAAGGCAGAGCAGATAAAAGTACAAGACTCCCAGTGAGACAGCCAAGTAAATGTGGCCACAGCAAGGATGCAACAGGGAGACCCCACCGTGCTGAGGGAATAGGATGCTGCCCAGACACACCACATAGCTCTCATTTGCTC